CCCCGAGCCCCCGGCTCGGCACCGCCGACCGCCAGCCCGCCCCCGAGCACCCGCACCTCCGGCCCCGCATGTCCCGATTTTTCCCGGACATGTCCGGGAAAATCCGGACGTATGGTAACCCTAATGTCGGTGATGGATTCTGCCTGACAGCAAGGGCTGATTCACTTCCCAGAGCCAGATCAGTGCATAGGCAAACTATAGACCAGGCCTAAGGCTTCAGCTCCTGGGGTCCCACTTCTGACCGTCCTGGCTGCAGGGGAGTGGGTGGAAAGTGTGAACTGAGACTAACCAATGTGGCAATGTCTGCCTGGGGTCTGGCCCACCCTTGGAAGGCTTTGCCCCCATGGATTATTCCAGACTCTCCCCACCACCGCAGGGGAAACAAGCTGTCCCAGTAAAAGTGCAGTTCTGCTGTGGATTGGCACTCCAGGCTTGGTGCAGGCCCAGGTGTGTTACACAGGGGTCACACCCCCGATCCAGCCATGCTGGCAGAAGGCCGTAGTGTAGACTTGGCTCGAGCCAGCCGATGGCCAGAAACAACCACCCTGAGAGGTGTGAACTGCCCCATGGCTCTAAATGTGTCTTCACAACAAAACCCACCGCAAGGGCGGCTAATATGCCACCCAAGCAGGAGGGGAAGAGAGCAGCATGCTTAGCCCACCATCAAATCACATACACTCTGGCTCCTTGGGAAAATACACCAGGGGCATGGGGGCTCCTGATATGCCTGGTTGTGACGCATCCAGGACCAAGCCTGCACACTGCTAGTAGCTACCCTGGCCTCAACACAGGTGACGGGAGGTTCTCCTTTCTCCATGTGGTGCTAAGTGCACTTGTCTGTAGTACTTGAGTTCATGTCTGATGCTAATAGCAAGGTAATAGAAGCTCAAAACCAGCTGCGAGATGCAGCACCTCAGTGTGGGAGTGCTGCCGTTTGTCAGTAACTAACTGCGGTACACCCACCACCATGGAAGCAAAGTTACTAGGTTCAGCCCCAGCTGAGTCAATGTGGAATACTTCAGCCATGGAAATCTGTAACGGTGCCGCCCGGGCTGAGTCTGTCTGGTGTGGGACGATGTACACAAGCAACAGCACGAGTTTAGAGGTGAGATCATAAGACGGGTCGTAAGCATGTGAGTACAGGAGGATGACTTCACCCTCCTGAAATAGCAGAGAGTGGCTGGTGTCTGCTCCAGCTGCAATGAACTTAGCCACTGCACTTTCCAAATGTGGTTTTATTGAACCAATTCACTGAGTCTTGAGCACTGGTTATAGCAAATGCCCTGTAGACCCTCAGCTGTGATCCATTCCAGGGGTGTTTTCTCAATGCATGTGCAGTCCTCCTATCAACAGTACAGCTCACACTGGCTTTATCTTGCAGTGTTGGCTTCAGTGTAAATACTGTAGTTCAGGTGGTAAAATAGCTTCAGTTAAAGTCCGTTTTCACACGTTCATGATTCTGTGCCTTTTCAGATCAAGCTTTCCATGCTTGGTCGCCACTGGTAAAAAATTCAGTAAACCTGAGCAAAGTCCCTTCAGCTGTTTTGTGCTCCTCAGACATAAGAGAATCCACGTGGCCTCCCCACATTAAAACTACCGCCTCTCTTCAGAGGGACAATTCACAAGTCGATGATCTTTGAATCTTGACATGCCCTTAGCATTGAGGCATCTGTGATCAGTTCACAGTGCTGAAATTGACAAGCTTAGATAGGTTAGTAAACTGCTTACCTGAGAAGCGCAAGACAAAATTTGATTTTCGCGTAGTCTACAACAGAAAAAGTTTGCTGGGGTAGCGTCCTGGCAAACCCTTCTTGTGCAGACGCAGCACTACTGTGCCAGCTGGAGTTTCTAATGTGAACCTGCCTAAGTCGTCAGGTCAGATGCTCTTATTTACACCAGCATAACTCCACTCGCTTTAGTGTTGCAACTGTGTAAGGTTGGGGAGAATCAGGCCCTGATTTATTTCTTGATTAAATCCATACTACTGCAGTACTGCCAATCCCAGGTACTCAAATGAGAAATCAGCCCCCACCTCCCCCCCCAAAAAATTCATGAGATTTTTAAATAATGTTTTTGTTTCCTTATTTACAATCTGGTTTCTGGACC